TTTCACTGCTCTGAACTTTCTTTCCTGGTGGGGATCTGCCCCCATCCCAGGGTCAGGTTTACTCACCAGTCAACTTAAATCCTTTGTGTTCTGTAGGGGACTGAATTCAATCTTCCATTCTCCAGGAGAGTGTTCCAAACACAGGACAGTCCCCTTTCTGTCTGTTAAAACTATTCCATTTCTGCATTAATAAAAATTATCTGCCAGATAACTTTCCTTTTGCCAGAAAGATTTTGAGACAGAGAGTGAGAAACCTATTTTGGGCAATCTGCCAACAGGGGTCAGTGCACAGCTCCTTTAATATTGCCAAGACTGAAGTGGGAAGCAGATAATTAAAGATGTGTCACACCACATTCTCGAGATGTGATTACAGGTCACAAAGATGTGCAATGGGTAACTTAAATTCTGCTGAACTGCTTGCTAACAAACTACACCTGGCCATCTAACTCTGAGTAAACTCTTAGTATTAACTGCAACAACCCAGATTTTAGTTACTAACTTACTGCAACTGTTGTAACTGAGAATTTCTGACATAACCAGGCTTAGATAGGAGTTCAGTTGGAAGATTTGGGAATCAGTGTATTCAACATGGATGTTTCACTGCCCTCACTGGTCACTTTAGGCTTTTATTACTTTTGTGGATCTGTCCCTCTTAAGTCAGGTGTTAGCCTGGACATTCACACTAGGATCTGAAGTTTTGCTTTAATTCTAGGAGTTTTCATGTAATTTCCTAGGGAACTTGTGATGGATTTCTGAACTCCTAATCTGAGATGGCCAAATTTATGCATGGGATGGAGGGAAATAATACTGGAGCAGATAAGCACCTCCATTTCCTTATGTATCATGTACAGAACAGAAACTAAGCAGAATTCAAGGCTCAAAGTGATTCCAGAGAGAGGGGTTTGTGTCACTGTGAAATGTAAAAATTCAATAAATAAATAAATAATGCTTATTTACAATCCTTAGATAGAAGAAATAAATGAACAAATAAGGCGAGAGAAAGAAGAGGCAGAAGCTCGTATGCGCCAAGCAACAAAGAGTTCAGAAAAGTCAACCACTGGTGGTGGAGGGGGAAGCAAAAATTGGCCAGAAGATGACTTACAGTTGTTAATTAAAGCTGTGAACCTCTTTCCAGCAGGGACTAACTCAAGGTACTCCTCGGGATCGGTGCTAAAATCCCTACTAACAATTTTTAATTAAATAACAAGCATAATACCACTTACTTTCAGACCCTCCTAAGTATGGTGTCAGTATGAGGACTCCCTAAATTTCCTCCTTTTCCTTGACTCTTAGCAGCCAGTGGTTTGTTTTCCCTTAGTACCATGCTTTATGTGTCACTGGAGTTAGCTCTGGCCCTGTGTAATTTCCCCCAGACTGGGGCCTCAGTCCATTACCAAGATGGTGCTGAGGTGCATGTTTGCACAGGGCTCACTCCAGGGTAGGCTCCAGTTATTAAAGTAGAGAACAAAACTGGAACAGTGACTGGGATGCAGCTGGGTAGGAATACAAGTGTGTAAGCTACTTCCAGTAGCTCCACAATGAATATGAGGCTGCTTTCCCCTCTACATGGTCAGAGGAAACCATACAGAGAGATAAGTGCACCAGCTTTCCTTAGGGCAGAGCCGGGGGAAAGGGAAAGGTTGGGATTTACAGAAAGCAGCACTGGCAATCAGCTTACTGATAAGCATGAAGAACAGGAGTATGCCTTAAATTCTGCTCTTTCCCAGGAATGCCTTCTTCCACTTGGGATTTGAGGCCCCAATTACAAGACTTAGAGGCATACTTTAAAAAAAATAAATAAAAGCTGCCATACTCTCTGGAGACAATAGCAGTGCCTGTTTCTGCAGCTCAGCAGTCAGTGCTCACTGAGAGCACAGGCCTAGACCCCATCCTCCTGTCTGATCAGGTGCAAATATTGCTTTCCATTTTCTAAGAATGCACTAGCAATAGTTCTGGGGCTAGAGGGCTGTTCTAGCTCTTTCCTGCTTAAGCCCCTTTCCTTGATGTTTAGGCCTTCTGGGGAGCGGTGGACACAGGATTAGTAATCTCTCAGCCCTTGAGTGCACCCTGCAGTATTTAATGTCAGAGGTGTTCAGGGAATTCAGGAAAGCAACATGTGAGCAGAATTTTGAGGATCAGAGGTTTGCACTCACCTACATTCTACCCCATCCTTTTTCTGTATTGGCAGCTGAAGTTCACTCAACTGACTGAATTCTTCAGTTAGTAACTTTCCAGAAATAATTACCCTGACATTTTATATGTATTTAAGTATGATTAAACTTACTTAGGATTTGATATAAAATGTGTACAGGAGCTTGACCATCACTTGTATGAAGATAATTATGTAATATGCTGGTTTACCCTTTCTATTCCTGATTTAGGTGGGAAGTTATTGCCAATTACATGAACTTGCACTCTACTACTGGAATAAAACGAACAGCAAAAGATGTCATCAATAAAGCCAAGAGCCTTCAAAAGCTTGGTATCTATATTACCTTATTTTTGCAATAAGATATTCTGCATGCTTCTGCACAGCTGGATTTTTTTTTCAAATGGCTTTGTGTTTCTGAGAAAATCTGTATATCCCCACAGAAGTGTAGTTCAGATAGAAGATTTAGAGGAGCATTTATGTGATTCAGTGTTTTCAGCCCAATGGTTTTTGTGTAAGTTACCACCTCATGAGTGACTCTCAGGAACAATCTCACTGTAGCTGGATGCTCAGATGTCTGTGGGCCACATGCATTGCCTGGGCTCAGCCAGAGACAAGTGGGCCTCTGAAAAAGCTCCCTACAAAGGAAGGCATCTAAAATAAAAGGAAGTGATTAAGCTCTAGAGATACTTTAAAAACACCAGAGTAAGACACCTAAATTAATGTGGCTCATCTCTTCTTTGAAAATGAATAATAATAAAATGATAAATGAAGCCTAGAGAGCTCTGGAATAAGGTCTTAAGGAAACTACATATTTCACTACAGGAGAAAAAAAAAATTGCACAAAGTTTTTAAGAGGCTTCTCCATTCCAAACCACCTGCCTGAACTTCCCCATTTTTCCTGCCCCTCTGACACGCTTGTACCCTGGATAATATGTGAGTTTTGTGCAGGAGCCATTACTTGAGAGAATAATCCTTCTGGATTTCTCTGAAGTTGCAGATTCAGGCTTAAGATTATATGGAACAAGTATTCCTCTGAGCAGTATAAAGCAGGATAGGGGTTGGAGAGCCTGACACTTTGAGCAAAGTTTATTGGACCCTAAAAGATTGGTTTTTTTAATCTACCAACCTCTTTACCATTATTTTAAAGGAAGTAGGAATAGTTTTAATTATGTGATTATTGTAAACTAGTAATCTGCCACACAATGTTTTTATTATTACATGTGGCTTTAACTGTTGCAATAATTTTTCTCTTCAATGTCTGTTGCTCATAGACCCTCATCAAAAAGATGACATAAACAAGAAAGCATTTGACAAATTTAAAAAAGAACACGGTGTGGTGCCTCAGATGGACAGTGCTGCCCCTTCGGAACGATTTGAAGGTAAAGCTGAAGAGGGAGCCCTTCTTACAGACTTGTCTCCCCTGTGCCTCTTAGAAAGGAAATAACCCAGACTCCAGACTTGCTTACAAACATAGAAAGTGATCCAGGCTCTGTTGCCGGATTTCAGCGTTTCTGGTACACACAATACACCCCACAGTGACCTACACAGTGACAGTCTGAAATGCTTCCTGGTGAGGCAACAGGTTAAGTCTGGTGCTGAGATCATCTGTTCCTCAGAGGGTGTTACACTTTCAGGGAAGAACAAGCTTGAGGGGATGTACTGGAGATACAGGATCATCATACGGCTTTTGGTCTCCTGTGAAACCCCAAACACCTCCCATCAAGTTTTCCAGACACTTAGAGAAGGCTGTTTCCTTACTGAGTGTTCCTTACTGAAATGCAAAAGGAAAACCTACGTTGCTGCCCTAGTGCTGTGCCTTAAGAGGGCAGCTACAGCAATCTAACACTCAGCTGACAACAAAAGATGCTCCCTTCTAACTTCCCCATGCTTTATCTAAAGATCCTGAGGGTCACTTGTCCAGTCAGCTTCAGGGTGGGTTGTTTTTTTGGGCTTTTCAAAACTAAATAGATTTTACAATATTTTTCTTACTGTCATTTTTGCATTTAAAAAACAGGATCACCTTTAGATACATCCCCTTGGACTACAGAAGAACAAAAACTTTTAGAACAAGCATTGAAGACTTATCCAGTAAATACTCCTGAAAGATGGGAGAAAATAGCAGCAGCTGTTCCAGGCCGGTCAAAAAAAGACTGCATGAAGCGATACAAGGTAAGGGACTCACCTCTCCTGGGACTGTCATCAGCCCAGGTCTTGATAGAATCCTTTGCCTTTACTGTTGCACTGCCTACCAGAGATGGTCTCTGACAGCAGCAAACTGATGGAACCTTATGGAGAAGCTTTTTTTTATTTTTGGTAACTCAACCCCTGAAGAGCTTTAAGGACTAAATGTTCCTTGGTGAAAGTGGTGGCTCTGGAATCTGGGAAGGAAAGTCTGTCTCAGGAAATCTGTCTTACAATTTGACACCAAGCTCTTGTAGACAGTAAAGTCCTATCCCTATCCTCCTGCAGGTAAAGTTCCTACTGCAGGGGAGGTAGATGAGCACTGATTTATTCCTAAGAGAAATTGCTTCACAGCATTAAACTATGTAGATTTCTCAATATGTTGAGAGTGAGAGTGTTTCACAGTGAATATACGTGGGGTTCAAAACCCTAGCATTGTTAACACGTTCCATGTTTAATTTAATTGTTTGGTGTGGTTTTTTTTTTTCCCCAACTATCCAGGAACTCGTTGAAATGGTCAAGGCAAAGAAAGCTGCTCAAGAACAAGTGATGAATGCTACTAAAGTCAAGAAATGACTCTTACTGACAATCTTTGTTTTGTAATAAAAATGCAAATACTGTACATGTTTCCATTCCTTTTTTCAATATACAGACACACAGGAGTGGCTGGTTCTTGAGATTTAATCTTCTCAAACACAACTCAAAAGCTTTAAACGGGTGTAGTTGCTTGGTGGAAGGGTTTTTGTTTTGTTTTAGGGTTTTTTATTGGTTTTCTCTTTCTTTTTTTTTTTTTCCAAAAAGCTCAAATATACTGAAAGTTCTTGTTATTCACTACTCACGGCGCCAATACATGCCACTGCAGATTTTGCTATACTCTGGGAGTTGTTCAATTGGACCTGGAAGTTAAAGAAAGTTGGCCATGACACATGTTCAGGTGATAGTGATTGGTCTGGAGGGGTTATGGGAAGGTAGGGAAACTTGTATCACATACCGACAGCAGCAACGGCAGGATGCTTATCACAGATGTACTTTGTGCAGATCTCTCTAATGGTCTGGGCATCAATAGCCTGAAAGGAGTGGAAGAGACATCTTTGTTACCATCCCATCTAAAACTGTGACCTTAATTTTGTATAATCCAGGGGAACAGGCAACAAAACACTTCAGAGTTTTCTCAGCTGGAAACATTTTCTCACCCAGGAACAGTCCAACTTCTGCATTTTTACTTTTTGTAGCAAATAATTTTCTCAACTGCCTAACTTAAAAGTTTCAACGTGACTGCCACTTACATCAATTCTCGCCTCAAGTTCTGGAATTGGGATTCGGCGCTTATAACACAGCATTTGTCTTCCAATGTCTTCACAGATTGGTGTAGACCCTAAAATAAAGGAAAATATGTTTCAGTTACCAGCCTACAACTCCACAAAGAATAAAAAGCTCTCATAAGTCTCACCATCAAGTTGTAGCAGCATATTTGTCTTTAGAAGATTTTTCGCTCGAGCTACTTCATTTTCTGTAACACTTGTGCAAAGTCTTATCCTGAAAAACAGTTTAAATCCAAAGGCATTAAATAATAGTAGCCTGTAGCACACAAGATTGCCTGTGATGAAGAGGTGCACAGACACTCCTGCACCTACCAGGCACTTCTTTTCTATAGAGAGAGCTGGTAGCAGAGTTTGGCATGGAAACAAGGCATAGGATGCAAAGCAGCAGCACAAGAGTAGGGTTTTGGGAAGCCTGCCAATATACCCAAAAGCAAGTTTTTCCCCTTAGAAGAGCTGCATTTTGTTTTATTAAATGTATATTTTGAGCCAAGTGTACTTGTTATGTTGAGAATGGGTGTTGCTAGGAAAATAGGAGCCAAGCAATCAGAAGTAATTAGCTAGAAGGCAATCCATCACTTCCTGGCTCTTCTCTTGGTGGGATTTCCCACTCTGTATAAGGAACATTTCATGAGGATGGGGGGGTGCATCAAATATCTTAACACTTGATTCTTCTCCCAGGAATTGTTTGTATCTTCTCTGGTGCTAAGCTGCAGAAAAGGGACAGCTAAAGTCATGCCTTTTTTCTCCCTGAGTTATTAAGATAGATCTCACAGAATAATGATATAGGAGAAGTGATTTATGCAATTAAAGAAACTGTATTTTCAAGATCTCTTTCAACTTCTATTTCAACTTCATCCACTTTAAATCAGTGCTCTTACATAATTTATGTCTGTTTCTAATCACATCTGCAGTTCAAGCCTTACAGTTGCACCTAGAGACATACCTCAATATAGATTTAAGCCTCAGATGAATGAATATTATCTAGAATTCCAGGTTTCAAAATTCCATGTGTAACAGCCAAAAATTCCCTGCCATATGTACTTGTACAAGGAATGCTGTTATATTAACTACAGTGCCTGTAGTTAAGCTATTCACTCCAAGTAAGGGTGCCACAAACTGGCTGCTGGGACTCTCCATTAGATGCCAAAGTTTACAATTTGATGCATTTGTTTTTTTCCAGATAAGCCTAAGCAGAGAAGCAAAAATACTCTCTTTAGATTATTTATATCTTTTTAATTTGTACTCCACCACAGAAAACAACCTTTTTAGAGAGAGAGTTGTTAGCTTACCATTCTCTCTGAACAAAGTGCACCATGTCCTGAATAGTAGATGGCTCACAGACCATATAGAGTCCCCACAGCCCTGTGTCAGTATAGCAGGTGTTGAAGGACTGGAAACTGTGACACAGGTTACCATGGCAGGCAATCTGAGCAAGCTTACTGGATAAATTCTGCTGAGGCAAAAGAAGAAGATACTGTTTTATAAAGCATTTTGGAAGCTTCCTATTCATCTCCCTGATTGATTTCCTGCTTTCATTTAATGATGACAGAACATGCAGTACTATCACAGGCTCCAGCAGAAGCTGTGAGGTTAATTATCAGCTCTTCAGCACAACAGTTGCTTTCCTTGTACATAATCTCACATTTCGAAGTAACAGCCCAGATTTAAGCCAAAATCATAAAGCTGCTTAGGTTCAAGAAAGGGACAGTTACTGACACCCATGGGTTCTGATGACATACAGGTATAAAACATCCTACTTTCGATGAAGGCTGGCGAGACCTCGAGTCACCTCTATTTTGGTGGTTTATAACCACTTCACTTATCCTGGGTAACAAATTCTCTCAGATGCACAACTGAACCCCCTCATGTGTCCTGGCAGTACCCAAGTCAGGGAGATCTCACCAGCCCACCAAGGTCATTCAGAGCAGGACGGTGTTTGCAGGTTCACTCACCACGCCTCCTCCGAAGGAACGATCCCAGTTACCTATCAGAGTATTGGCTACCATGAGTGGGATTGTATCTGGATCTGACCAGCCAGCTGCTTCCACAGCTATGGCCAGGTGGGCCAGGGGCATCTTGTCATCCCGGATTCGAATCTGTGTAACAGAAGAGAGCAGCTGTATACAACCTGTACACAGTCGGGTATATGGGAAAGTGAATATCAGACAAGAGACTTTTCCATTAGAGCTGGATTATAAAGTGTGCACACAGAGAACTAAAATTAAAGCACGTGAAGCTTAACTTAACATCAGCCTTAACTAGTCTTCCCTGAGGCAATTTCAGAGGACTTAGCCAACATACACAGAGAGGGCATTACAAGTCATTTTACAACTACCAGCAGCGAGGAAATCTGATGACTTTGCAAAATCTGAATAGAGATGGGAACAGAACAAGGATGCCACGGTTCTCTGCCACATCCTTTAAGTAAGTGGTTCTCAACAAGTGGAAATGCTCCACCACCACAGTCAAGGGGACAAAAGGAAAGTAGCAGCAAGTATAAAGGATGTAATCCTCCAGGATGTGATGAAGCATAAAAAGTGGTGGCAGTGAGGCTTGTCCAAGAAAGGACCCAAAGTACCACTTTGGAAAGCAGCTACTCCCATTGCCCTCACTGGGGGAAAGAAACCCTTTCATGTGTCAAGTCTGTGTCAGAGCAGCCCTCTCTCTTCAGCAGAGAGCAGTTGTCAGGCGATGTAAGGGCCAGCTGACAAAGCCACCCAACAGCTTACCTCACTACCTGTGAAGCTACAAGGTGGCAGGGGTGGCAGTCCTCCTTCTGGAGCAGATGGCAAGTTACCAAAATGGCACTTTGCTAGGTCAAGCAGTTCATCATGACAGACCCCTGAAAAAAGGTATTTCACGTGCTTCGTGATGATACTCTGTAAACAATTCATTTAAATTGCTGCACAGACTAAAGACTCAACCAAGCAGTAATTCGTTGTGCCCCTGCTTTAATACCTCACTTTTGCATTCCTCACACCTCTCCATTACACAGAGTGAGATCATGATTCCCACTCCTGAGTTCTCTCTAACAGCCTTCCATTAAAATCACACCAAATCAAGCTGTTTGCTCTCAGTTTCAAGCCTTAAAGTTATTACTTTGTCTCTGCATTCCTTGCCACACCCCTTTTCACACTGAACCCCTTTTAGGACCCTCCTTTCCTGCCCACATGGAAGAATGACTTTGGCCTCCAATTCACTTCTTGTCACCAATTTAAGGTTTCTGGAATATTACTGAGAGGAAAAGGGAACAAAAATTCAAATGGTATGAAGGCACAAAACACACAGGGCTAACAATGAACTTCCAGGACCTACTGAACAATGGGTAATTCATCATGTTGTTCCCAGAGACTCAGGCCATGGTTTTAAGCACAGTTTCTCATGATCCAGGGTGAATATCCCATACTAACCTCCAGCAGCAGCCAGGACCATTCTGGGTCCTTTGTAATGTGTTGTTATGTACTCCACCAAGTCATTACGATTTATGGATCTAGAAACAGGAATGGAGACATCATTACTGTGTCAGTAAAGCTGACTAGAGCAAAAAGAGGTAAATGTATAAACCAACAAAACACCATAATAATTAATAAGTTCTGCCAGTGCACAGAACAGAGGCAGAAAGCTGAAATAAGGGTGACTCCCTAAAAAGGAAATAGGAACTCGATACATTTTGCCTTTTCAAGCTCTTCTAGCTTCCTGAGAAGAGTGAGAATTACAACTCAGTCAGGTGGAGACAAGGTGCACTAATGATCTCCTGTTCCTTTGAAAGCAGCACATTTGGCAGTCTCCTGGTCTTCACTGGTCTAAACAAACGCTGAAAGAGCAGTGCAAACACAGTTGTGCTGACAGTACTGTCTAACATGTGACCAACTGGAAAAAGGAGCATTTCCAATTTTGTGTCAGATGCACTTTTAACAAACAGGAGAAAAATATGGCAAAAAACAAAGACATGCAGAGGACACTTGTAGTTCACATGCCCTTTAATGCCTGCATACAGGGGAACTAATGCAATAGGGAGATTCTTCTTACTGTTATATCCAGTGCACAGAACAATTTCAGCTGTAAAAATGAAAACCGATGCTGTTCCCTACATTTTCAGATTAGTCTTTTCAATATATAAAAGTTATCACACAATTAAAGACAGACACAAATTTGGACATACTTGATGTTTTCAGTGGGTCCTAAAATTGTCCGTCCCAGGGCTGTTTTCTGGTAGGCTGTGGCATGAAGGTAATCAAAGACAACTTCCTGCAAATTGGTTTCAACTTCTTGCATCTCCCGAAGGATAACTCCTCGCTCGCGCTCAATCTCTGCTTCTCCCAGGGTGCTGTTCTGAATTATGTCAGCAAGGATTTCCACAGCTAAGTGAAAACAGAGATGGAGATGGAAATGGAAAGAGTATTTTCAGACTACCAGAAAAATCTGGTTCCAAAAGTGAAGCCCACCCCAGAGACCAAGTGCTAACAAGACTTGCAAGGGGACAAAAGACTTGTAGGAAGGGAGAAGTCCAAAAGGTATCTTATTTTGGGACTCTGAAGAGAAAAATGTTTTCGAATATCAGCTTCGCTGCTGGCTCCTTTCCAAACCTGCATTCTCACATTCATGTGAAGTTCAAGAAGGGACCTTTCACCCAGGATGGAAGGGACTGTAACACTGCAAAAGCATCATTCTGTGTCATCTTATTGGAAGCTCGACAAGCACCTTGCTCTTTGCTGCTTTTCTGATGAATGAGAGCAATTACCTCTTGGTAAGTCTTTTGAAAAAGCCTTGGCATAATACACAGTTTGTTCCCTGGATGTATATGCATTCAGATGAGCTCCCATGTTCTCAATCTCTAGCTCAAGGTCTAACTGAGACCTCTTTTTTGTTCCCTGAAATAGAACAATAAGAAAATCAAATTAGACCCTTCAGTTCACCTACCCATCATTACTGCTTCATGTCTGAAAAAGTCAAGATCAAGAGAAAGAAAAAGTCTTCTGGAAATAAAACTGGCATACTAATATTTCCAAGCTTGAAATTCAGATGTAAATATTACTACGCTCCCAAATGAAAATAAAAAGCTGACAAAAGGGTGACTGTGTGTCTTCTAAGACTATTTATTTTAAGACAGTAAAAGTGAGTTAAAACTAGAACTGTGTAATCTGTAGCTGTGCATCAGCTACACAGAAATAGGACTTCATTTTCTAATGGAAACAAAGGTTTTAGTTGTCCATATTTTTTTTCTCATTTCAATTTGGAAAATTTATTTATAGAATTCTGGCAAAGTTCTTATCATTGATTTTTAAAGATAAATAACTTAGTGTCCTAGTTAGAGCAGCCGGGACCAGTTCATCACTGTGCGGGTGTAACCCAAACTGTGTGTTCTACACCCTCTGGGTCATTTCCCAGGAACTGTTAACAATAGACCATTTGCAGCAGCTGCCCAGAGCACACCTGACCCCTCAGGCTATAAGCCTGTGAGATAAGAGGATGTTCCTAACCTCACACCAGTGACTCAGGTGTGATAACTCCCCTTCAGGGAGTCATTAGCACCTCCACACCCAGCCTGAGGGGTCATGTCTGCTAACAGGCCACCAAGGATTCCAAAAATATCTCACAACTCACAATCACCCATTGTGGAACTCCCTGCCCTGGGGGAGGTACTGGGCATTCCCATTTGAACCTGAGTGTATATAATCTTGGGATCCTGGGACTTCTGGCCCCATTCGTCGGATCCAGAGGAGGACCAGAACCTCAACCAGACTGCAACCACCACTCTCGACCAGACTGCGACCAGCACTCTCACCAGCAGGTTTTCCTTTCCTTTTACTTTGGACTCAGGGGGAACCACGTGGGGCTTAGCATGAACACCACTCTGTTCATGCCCCAGGGTGCTGGGTTATACATCTGGGGTTTGTGGGTTAAAACCAATTGTTTGTCCATATAATTGTATTATTGTATTATTTTTATCAAATTGTAACTCTGACTTATAATCTCTTTTGAGCTGGGTTCATTTCTCCTGCCGGTTTACCTTTAAACCAGCACACTCAGAAATTCATTGTAAACTTCTACATCAATATTCATACTCACCTTGAAAGCCATATGCTCAAGAAAGTGAGCAGTCCCATTGTTCTTCTCATTTTCATACCTGCTTCCAGCATCAATCCAAAGTCCAACCTCAACAGAGAAAAAAAAAAGTCATTTTACCACCTAAAAGCTTTTCTGTTTTGCTCTGTGAGCCACACTTAGATTTTCAAGATTTATTTTTAAAGGACTTTTTCCTTAAACACATCAGGTTTTCAAGAAAAGGAAAATTTCCATCTTCACAAAAAAATCTAATCACAAATCTACAAAAGCCTTAAGACCTCTATTTCCTATCTTAAGTTTTAGGAACATTGCATGTAAATGCAATTTAGTTCCACAAGGAAATGAACACACATGAAGAGTACAAAAAAACCCTTCCCTTTACAAGTTACTTACTGTGCACGTTGAGAGTCCAGAGTCTTCAGAAGCTACTTGCAAGCCATTTTCCAATGGACTCACCCTAGTTTCAGGAACATTTAAGATTACTTCTGTGGCTGCTTTGGAAGCCCTGAGCCTGCCTGTTCCAACATGCACACACTGTAAGAAAAATCAGTCATTAAAGTTATATCCAAAGACACTCCTCTGAACAATGTATTCCTAAACTTAAACATTATGTTCGTGGATCTTTTCTAAGGAATGCATTTAAAGGAAAGAAAATTCAGCACTACTATTCACCACTACTTCACATCTGAGATGCAGTAACCTGAATCCAAAAAAAACCCCCAAAGATTACTAAAACTGAGGAGATACATCTGCTGCCCTCCAATCTGACACAGAAGCATGTTACTAACATCAGACAGCCACACTTGTTTCCCAGCTCTGCCAGCAAGAGCCAGCAGGACCTTGAATATATCCTTTACCATCTGGAATTCCTCTGGGCACCTGCTTTCTAAAGTGAAGTGAGATACAGCCCAAGTGCCTATGTCCAGGACTGCAAATCAGTCACTCATTGGTCAGAGACTGTGAAACTGTCACCTCTGAAACAATCACCTGGCAGTTAAAGCACATTAAATCAGAGTGGGGCAGAAAAGAAGGGAGGATGTAGGTTAAAAAGGTTTATTGCACTTTTTCAATGTCAAGAAATACAAATCTGTATCCCAAATGCAAACTTCAAGGAATCAGTTATTTCAAAGACTATTATTTTAAATGTATCAAATAAACAAATATTTCTTTCCCCATGTAACTGCCTTAAACATGGAAGTACAAAATCCAGCTCTCACCCACTCTCCCCCTGAATACCAATAGCGAGATCTCTCAAAACTCATATATTTCAGAATCATAGCACAATTTAAGTTTGAAGGGACCTCTGAAAGTTCCTAGTCTAACTTCCTTCCTGCTCCAATCACAATCAGCTATGGGGTCAAGACCATTTTGCTCAGGGCTCTTTGCATCTGGGTATTGAAAATCTTCCAGGATGGTGAGAAACTGCACAGCTCTGTCTCTGTACACAGCCTGCTCCACTGCTTGACTGCCTCACGGGGAAAAAAGCTTTCACATACCAATTTTTCCTCTCGTTTCAACTTATGCCCATTGCCTCTCATTCTGCCACAATGCCCCGCTGTGACAAGCCTGGTTTTGTCTTCCTGACAACCTTCTCATGGGTACTGGCACAGGTCCTTCTCACAGCTCCTCCCACAGGTCCGGCTGAAGCCGTGTCTTCTGCAGGATGAACAAGTCCCAGACCCTCAGCCCCTCCTCACAGGGCATGTCTTCCAGCCCAGCTCATCTCTGCTAAACACACTCCAGCTCAGTGACGTCCTCCTCACACTAAGGAGCCCAAAACCAGCTGTCACACAGAAACCTCCTGACAAGTGCAAACTAATCAGTCCCTCTGATCTATGGGCTGCTCCCTTTGTGCCATCCTGCCCTGCTGCTGGACACTCCAACAGCCTCTTCCAGAGCTGCTCCCCGAGCACTCAGCTCCCAGCCTGGGCTGATGCAAGGGACTCTCACTGCCCGTCTGCATTACAGGGAAAGAAAAAACTGTTTGAAAAGACCTCCCTCTCCCGTTTACAGACGGAAAAGCTTGGCTTCAAACTGGGAGGACGGGGGAAGTGACAGAAGGGAAAGAGCCCTCCCCTCGGGGCCTCCACCGAACCACGGGAGGGAATGAGGGTTTAAACGTTCCCCTGAGCCCCCTGGGGCGGGCACGGGCATGGGCACCAGCAGCAATGCCTGTGGATGCGGCCGCCGGGCTCGTCCCGCTGGGATCTGTGAGGAGCGGCCGCGCCCCCCGTTGGGCCGGGCAAGACCACAATTCCCGCCCTGCACCGCGGTCCCGCCGGACTACAAGCCCAGCGTGCAACCGCGCCCCGCCTCAGCCCCTGACCATCCTCAGCGCCCCGCGAGCAACCAGCGCACGGAGCCGGCGCGGCGCCGGCGCTCCCCGGCCTCCCTGCGCTCCCGTCCCGCCGCCTCACCGCGCTCCGCCGCGCCAGGCGCTCGCCCTCAGGCGGGCGGACCAGGGCAGCAGGACCGCCGGGCCGCACAGTGCGCACCGCAGACGTGGCATTCTTGGCGGGCGGCGGGCGGGGCTGTGCGGGCGGGGGCGCGTCAGGGCGTGCGGAGGGGGGCGCGCAGGGCTGTGCGGGCGGGGGCGCGCAGGCGCGGGGCAGTTCTGCCCGCCCCCGCCGGGGGGCGCAGCGAGAGCTCCCTATTGCAGGGAATTGTGAGGGGATCGGAGAATGTGCCGAGTTCGGAGGGACCTGCGAGGACCATTGAGTCCAGATCCTGGCCCTGCACAGCTCAATCCCACCCTCTGCCTGAGAGCGTTGTCCAACCGCTCCTTGAGCTCTAGCGGGCTTGGAGCTTGGTTTTCACAGGATCACAGAATATGCTGAGTTGGAAGGAACCCACAAGGAACATTTCAGTCCAACTCCTGGTCCTGCACAGGACCATCCCCAAGAGTCACACCATGTGCCTGAGAGTGTCATCCAAACACTTCTTGAACTCTGTCAGGCTTGGTGCTCTGACCATTTCTTGGGGAGCCTGTTCCAGTGCCCAACCACCCTCTGGGTGAAGAACCTCTTTCTAATATCCAACCTAAACCTCCTCTGACACAACTTCAGGCCATTCCCTCGGGTCCTGTCACTGGTCGCCACAGACAAGAGATCAGTGTCTGCCCCTCTTCTTCCCCTCACAAGGAAGTTGTAAATGCAATGAGGTCTCCCCTCAGTCTCCTCTCCTCCAGGCTGAACAGACCAAGTGCCCTCAGCTGCTCCTCATATGGCTTCCCCTCAAGGCCCTTCACCATCTTCATTGCACTCCTCTGGACACTCTCTAAGAGCTTAATATCTTTCTTATATTGTAGTGCCCAAAATTGCCACAATATTCAAGGTGAGGCTGCCCCAGTGCCGAGCAGAGCGGGACAATCCTCTCCCTCACCTGGCTGGCGATGCTTTGCCTGATGCCCCCCTGGACAAGGTTGGCCCTCCTGGCTGCCAGGGCACTGCTGACTCATATTCAACTTGCCATCGACCAGAACCCCCAGGTCCCTTTCCTCAGCACTTAATGGTCCCGCTCTACTAACTCTGCTCCACAGCAGTGCAGTTCAGGAAAGCCATTTCCCTCCCCATAACCCTTTATGGCCAAAGCGCTGCCTCTCGGCTGCTCTGAGCTGCCATGGGCACATCACTGCCCCATGAGGCTCCTTCAGCTGCACCGGGCCCTTTGGGCAGCGCTGGCTGAGGGTGCTGCACTTCCTGTGGGACAGGCCCGCCCTGGCTGGGGAAATCCCAAGGCTGAAACTACAACCTGAAGTCTTGTTCTAAGAAGTGAGTGCAGAGTAGCAGGAAGACTTGTTATGAATAGGAAGGCTGCACCCACACCAGTGAATTCAGCACTCTGCAGCGCCCAGCTGGCAGGGAACTCCCTCAGCTCCCGACACAGGACTGTGCAAACTGCTGGGAATGGTCCCTCCCAGCTGCCAGCGGCTGGGAAGGGCTTGTGGGAATGGTACTTGACAAGAGCCAAATTTGGCCTGGGAAAAGTTCTGGCAATATGCCATTATAGGCAACTTCATTTTGGTGACAAAGACTGTTCCTGAGCACGTTTGGAGTGTGCGGATGTAGATAAATAGGTACAGACATGCAGGAAGCACTGCTCTCGGTTTTGATTGACTTCCTGTTTAAAATTTTTACTTTTAGGGTGGGGGATTTTTTTTGGTTTTGGTTTCAGGTTTTTTTTGTTTTGGTTTGGTTTGGCTTTGTAGGTGGGGTTTTTTTGTGTGGATTGAGTGTGTGTGGGGGGGAGGTGGTTTTGGGGTTTTGGTTTTGGGTTTTTTTTCCTAGAATTAGGAGCTTTTGGTTTACCTAATCAAGTATTATCTCAAATAAGGAAAACCAGGGTGAAATTCTGTTATTTGTCCTGCAATGTATTAAGTAGCATAATAGGAAGAAACAAATACTATATAAAGAAAGAAATTTGTACTGCATATGCTGGGTAGAGACTCTGTTTCTAGGTACTATTTTCCTAACCCTGAACTTCCGTCTGCCTCAAACCATAGCACCATACTTCTGACACCCTCTGCCTCAGTATAGGTACTACAAATCTTCCCCATCTTGCTCTGCTCCAAAAAGAGAGAGGAAGCTGGGCTCTTGGCAATCCATCAGAAGGAAGAGATTCTTGGGCCCCAGATGTAGTATTGGCTTTTCCCCAGGTCCTTCAGCACCTGCCTTCTGTGCCCCTGGGCTTTTTAACAATACAGCCAGTTTCTGAAGGAGCTCAGTGCTGTGTTGATGAGTGCCCTCAGGCGCTCCATCTCCTGCCCGGGGCTCTGATTCCACACTGAGTGTTGAAAATGGTGAGAACTGAGGATGCTTCTGCTCAGTGTGAGCTGTCTCCTGCAACTGCCAAGGTCCTATTACTCAGACCTGATTCACCAGAGCTGTCAGAAGTGATGCTCCCCTTGCTCTGGAATATTATCAGTTACATGCAGGTTTTAGGTGACAAAACTACTGCGACTCTCAAAGAACACTGAGGGTTGTTAGTGGCTCCTGAGCTGGCTCAGGTACTGAAGTGTGAGAAGGCTCTTCATTGTGATTTACCTTCTCAGACTCCAAAACATGGACCAATTTCAGAAAATGCCATTGTATTTTAAATATATATCTTTTCTGGGGTATCTAGGGGGGAGGGGAGGAGGAGGGCAAGGTCTCATACCCTCGGCAGTTCAGAATGAAATTGTACCAACTGCCCTAGAACATCTGCACTGCCAGTTCACAAGCTCTGTGCTTGAACAGCAGCTTTAATCCTGCAGCCAGGCTTGCCCAGTTTCTGCCACAATCACTGTAATTGCATATGCACAGTGAAACCAAAAAGCGTGATATACTGCATACATCTAAAAATAAAACTGAAACTGTTGTTAGCATGTTAGTTAAGAGACCAACCTAAATGGCAAGAAATCAGATGCTGCCTAATTTGACAATGACCCCTTGATCGTGTATGGAACTGTATATCTCTGTGATTGAAATAATTACTGATAGTGTTATCTTGCTGTCTGTATTATATATATAATTTATATATATATATTTTATAATTTAGATATCTATTTTAGTATCCACATAACCTTTGGTAAGAATAATCTTGTAGCTGTAAAGCAGGCACATCCTTTCACCAGAGAATTTACATTCAAGTCAAATTAGTTTCCATGGAATAGAAAATCTAACCTTACATGAAAATACTTCTCTTTTTTTAGTTTAGTTTCTCCTGTTTAGATTATGCATATTCAAAAGATCCATCCAGTTCCAGCATTTTTTAAATTTCAGATAGAGCTCTGTCAAGTTGTAAAAGAAAAAAAGCAAAGCACCAAACTGTGCAATTGAAAATTAAAATTAAGCTTCTCTTCCATTTTACAGCTAGATCTAACTGATCTCATTATGCTGGGATTTATCTCAAAGATGTTTTACCAGACTTCACTAAGCCATTAGCCACCCTCCATCCTAGAAATTTGAATCCTTGCTAGACATAGAATTACAGCTTAAGAAAAACTGATTATCCTCATAATATGTCTCCTACTTAACAAAATAGCAGTGTCTCATATGTAAATGCAATCTAAAATTTAGCATCCAGGAAAGGTCATTAGAGAGAGGCAACTTTAAATTAAGAAATCTTATTAACCAGCTAAAATGCAATAAAATAAAACAAATACTGGTGTTCTAACAATAGAAGCTGAATATGGAAACACTCACCACTAAACTTTTACAGAACAGTACTTTTAAAATGGTTTTAACAATCTGTTTTTTAAAATGAGTTTTAGAAATGGACTATTATAACAAGGAATGCTCGCAATATCCCTCTGCTTTAGGTAAACAATATTATCTGCAGCTCCCAGAGGGAGAAAATGAGATCTTTTTTTATAGTTATGTGTCCAGTCTCAAGCAACAATGGAGTAGAAGGGCCAGGATTAGCAGAGGGAAGTTCTATATTATGTCCTTGTCATCACCATGATACATAAATAGTTGCCTGCCAAGTTCAAGATTCCACAGAGCCTCGTGAAATGGGTGGATGATATAGGTGAGAGCCTCAGGATAAAAATCTGATTCCTTCAAATCCAGTTTCCAGATTTCACCCTAAGTATGGGGAGCTTTGTATTTTACACTAAGTAGCTATTTTAGATTAGCATCCCTCCTAAACACGTTTCTGGAAAAGGACCAAATGGCACTTTCTGTTTTTAAACAGGCTTAAAACTTGTCAGGTACTCCACCAAAAACACTAGTAATATGAAGTCTGAATTATACAATTCCAATTGGTTTTCTGAGGAAATAAGATTTCCATGCTCATTACTGTACAATATCAACCAAAAACCACAGGCATCTCAAAGACTGGGCCATTCCAGGAACAACCAGCTGAGGAGAAGCCTGAGGTATCAGCTCTCCCATGGGGAGAGACTCTGCACTACCCCATCTGAGAAAAACATTCACCTGGTGCCAGCACTCATAGATCTAGCTTGTTGCTTCTAGAGTAATACTCCTACTTTATAAAACAATTCCATGTGGTAGCAGTGACAGAAATCAGAAATCTGCATATGCATACCTGACATATGTATAACCACGTGTCAGCACAGGGGCTGAACACAACACTTTGAAACCAGCACTGCTAATCTGCACGATCACATTGAAAGGGGTTTTTTTTCAATTGTATATATAAAATATTTCTTCTGAAATAAAGAAAATGTTCATATCAGCAAGACACACTATCATGAAGAAACAATCCTCAGTTGCAGGCTGATCCAACCCCAGACAAGAGTGCACAGGAACTGAGCATTAGAGCAGCACTGCTTCAAAACTGCTGAAACCAGCACATGGTAAACATTACCAATTGAAATTGCCTTCAGCTAAACTACTGCTTAGTGCTGTGTTAGCTTTTTGTAGACTCATCATGTTCACTGTTTATTTACAATCTACTATCTTTTTAAAGCAATGATACAGTATTTCCCTTGATGAATATGCTGAAATCCAGCTGCCAGGAATTGGCTTGAGCTCAGCCAAGCAAGAAGATTTCAAACAAACCTAAAAACATAGGCTCAAGAAACAATACATTTTTTTGCTGAGGAATGGGTTGGGGTTTTTTTTGTGAATAAAGTTGTTTTGAGAATACAAATTAAACTGTCTGAACACTATGTTTTCTGATTTTCATGCCAGCTGTTCACTGGCATGTAGCTGATTATTTTTATCAGTGTTACCTAGGGGTTATCCTCAGCTAATTAAATTGCAATAGCTTTTCTTTCCCATGGTTAACCACTGGGCAGCAACTGCAAAGGCCTCCAGGCCACTGACACTGGTCTTTTGTACTCTCAAGCTGCAAGGAAGACTGTCTAAATTAAACATAGAGGCTGTTGGCTGAATTTATAACATTTCAGTTGCTCATTAACAGAGCACTCTTTTGAGGCTGCTGATTAAAAGCTTTCTTCAGGGAATATTACAGTATTCTGTCTGCAGTTCTTTTTTTCTCATAAGTATTTACGTACTGAAAGAAGAAAGTGGAACCTGTCAGTAAGTACCAGACAACCTACTAACCTGACTGCTGAAGGCTTTTATCAGAAAGATAAATGGAAGAAATTTGGATAGCTCATAACAACAACTTTTCAAGAATAACATGCCAAACAAAAGATTCTGCCTGATGCAGTAATTCAACTGGAAATTCCTGCGGGTAAATGTATCTGATTTAGCTAAACAGATAAATTCCTCCTTGCCTTTCAGCAGACTCGCTACAGAACGAAGATTTGTCCTTTTTTATAGCTATTTTTGGCATTGTATAGAAGTGTCATTTCCGCCCCTCCCTTTGACTATAACCACATACAGTTCCATTTTTGTATAGCATTATTCTGATTTGATGGTAGCTGAATTCCCAGAACTCCATCTATTTCAACCTTTTTCTCTTTTTAAGAAAGGATCACTTCAGCAAATATTTTCTCCAGAAAATAATCAAGAGGTCACCCAAGTCTCTAGTATAATTCAATCAAAATTGACACAGTGAAAACTGAAATAATGCAAATATTAGAATTTGGCACCTGATCAAGCAGCCAAGACAGCCACCATTCTTTGATCCTCTAATTCATTCTTCCTCTGTTAGGCACTGTTCAGGTAGTGATAATGTGAGCAGATTTTCCATTACAAAAATGCTGTTAATGCTACTCATCACAGTTTATAACACAGTTATATGCTGTTCTAATATCCATATAACTGAGTTTTCTCTTTTATTTCCTGTGTTAAACCCTGTTTTCTCAATCTTTAATCCCTAAAATCTCAGTAATTCTTAAGTAAGCGTTAGCAAACACAAACTACAGGCCGTGTAGTTTTATTCAGATATTAATACAGTTCAATTATATGCTTAGCCATTATAGTCATTGATCCAGGGCAGGTTTTGTTTAGCTTCCAGGCTTCCTTGTTGCACTTTAACTGTGGAAACAACATATATAAGCATTTGGCTTTACAGCTCTAACCAGCTTCTTCCTAGCTGACTTCATAGCGTGAACTGGTTGCCATCATGTCGTAGACTTTTCACGGTCCATGACGCTATTGCAGACTGGCCAGATTCGTGTCCTGACTCATCTGTCTCTCTGTGCTGTAGGCCTCCCTTGTGCTTGTGTACAGAAGTTGTACCACTCATCACACTTCAGCTGAATAAAACTAGCTCTCTACACTCTTTCAGTAGTCAGTGGAGGGTAACAGGACACTTCTCTTAGGATGATTACTTAGAAATGTCTTCTCGTCTTACTTCCTGCTCACACTGATTGTAGAGGAATGAGGACTAGTTCAGCAGACTAAAAAACCCCAATCTATAGGCAGCTGTCTTCAGGCAAAACAAATCTTATCCTGAGCTTCAGGCTAGTAGCTCATTGCAGGCTTCCCTTATCTAAAGATCAGATCCATATATTTTATTATATTATTAGAGGATATTATACAGATTATAAATGCATTTACTCAAGGGCACAACAAGTTGAACTTATATTCTGAAAGGGCCTACAGCATTTTAATGCAGGAGGCTGGTAATTTTGCAGCATTTTTACTCAATTTTAAATATCAACTTCTTGCCATTAATTAAATACAAATGGAGTAATCA